GAGAGAGAGAGAGAGAGAGAGAGAGAGAGAGAGAGAGAGAGAGAGAGAGAGAGAGAGAGAAAGAGAGAAAGAGAGAAAGAGAGAGCTGTGATTTATTACCAAATTATCCACTGATGGAGACTCTTTAATTAGACAGGCAGCAAAGCTTGAGTGGCTGCTGCAGCCATCAGGTACTAAAAGAAAATGCGAGGATATGCAAAGTTACTGAGCCAGAAAGGGGTCAAACTACTCTGTGGGGACTCGAGGGGAGGAGAAGGACCCTGCTCAACAGCACATCTCTTTCCACAGCTTGTCAGAAACATCTATCGCAGCCCAGGGGTTGGCCCCAAATCAGCCCCATAGTGCTGAAGTCAGAGCCTCTATGAGCCCTGTGGAGCCTGGCAGGAGCTCTGTGGATGCAGAGAGGGGAGCTGATCCATGAGATTTCATTCGGGGTCTCTTAAGGAGCTGGATGGAACTGACCTCTTCTGCTTGTTAATTAGAGCAGTCCATCAGCGTCCGCCATCCTCCAATTAATTGCAGAATAAGATACTGCTGAATGTGCGCTCGGGAGGCAGAGCCTGGCCCTGGGAATGCTGCATATTGGCACTTCCACATCATTCCCTGCCTCTCCCTGCTTTGCCTAGTTCTGGCTGCAGCCAGAACTGGGTTCTGGGTGTTTTCCAGTCCTCTCTCAGTAGGTTTAGGAGGGGATTCAAAGAGAAGAATTAGGAGATGTTTTCCAAAGCAGTGTCTTTCTCACATGACACGCACCTGACTGCAGACTTACCTTACCCTTCACAGTAAGAGAAAATTCTGTAAACTATATGCAGATTTTAAACAGGTGCATTTGGATTTTGTCTGCCAGGATGAGTAGCAAGTATGTGATAATATTATCCACAGGGATTAGAGCTGGGAGCTCAGGTGAGGGGCTGCTTGTTCATATATCCCATTTTCAGGAATCAGGGTGGTACTTCCTTAGGGAGCTCTGTGTCGTGGCACACAACAACTTGGCGGCTCTCAGACGCATTCTGTTTGTCCTTGTGGAAATGCTCTTCCACTTGTACCTGTCCCATTTCCATGGACACAGCCTCCAAACTCCAAATAAGTATTTTGGGTCCAGTTCCACAGTCTTTTGTAAGAGAAATCCCACTTCCTTTCAGTAGGAATACAGGAAGGACTAGTGCTAGGGATTACAAGGTCATGTCCTTAATATGGGTCAGAATCACCACAGAAACTGATAATTGATATGTCCTGTACCAATGCCAAAGCTTCCATGTGGAAGTGTACAGGCTGAAAGAAATTAAACCCACTCATTTTATCTTTTATCTCAACCCACATTAACTATCACAGTTTGGATCTTGTAGATACCCAGTGAATAATGAGGAACGCCTAACAAAAATACATATTATTTGTCAGCCACTATGCTGCTAATCTATCATTTGTGGTAGGGTCGTTTATGGTTTCTTTAAGAGACTGGTTTAAACAGAAAACATAGCTGGTTCCAAACTGTGGTCTCTGAATTATCACTGGTGATCCATAAAAAAACCAGCATGGCCCTATGTAACTGTCTGTGCTTTGCTTTTATTTGCTAATCTGCCCTTAAAAAAAAAAAAAAAAGTATATTACTTATTTTCATTAACCTTTGGCTTAATTATGGAATTGCTTTACTCGGCTGCCAAGAAAGCATAAAATAATCTGCAAATCTAGGAAAGGAAATCAGTTCATGAGACTGTCACTATTCACTGAAATGTGCTTTTTATTCCGAGAAAAGCCTGGAAACTCACAGTAGAAAGCAAACGGACCAAGACCTGCAGTCATTTCATGCCATGAATTACCCCAACTTCAAACAGAGGCCCAGATCTGAGATGTGTTGTATTCAAGTTAAAATAACAGAGGCATAATAGTGAGAACCTAATGACTCATCTGAATTTCAGAAAACTAATTATCTAGTTTGGAGATACCACTAGCAGGTCCAACCAGCAATTAAGAACTAAGACAGAAATGAAAAAAAGCTGGGGACAGCAGCCCTCAGCACTGAAAGACAGCTAAGAAACAAGAAACAGGAAAAGCCAAGTGTATGTATAAAAAAGGACCTTTAAAAATACTGTACAAAGGATTATGGTTGTGCTTGTCAGTCACAATGCAGAGGACATCGCAAGAGGCAATGTCAAAAAGGCTGTAGCTAACTTGTAAAAATACATTTGATATTTGCAGTTAGGCCACACAGGGTCGTCTATATATATCTCAATTACAGATAACAGTAAAAAGGTTGGATCGCAACCAACTGCAATTTTACTGGAATCCTCCTGCTGTTGGTAAGAGCTGCCTGTGAGCCTCAGCCACGCTGCAGATTTGGTACCAGGATGTGATATTAAGAATACTGCTTCATTTTAAATGTTTCCATTTGGCAAAATGTTGAGGCATATGTTGTAGGCCTGAGTGCTTTGTGGAACTATATGTAAATGCTGGTTGCAAGCACTCTTCTCTGAGCCACTGTAAGTAGCCTGTATGTATCAGGAGTGAATGGGTGCTGGGAGATACAGTTAGTTTTTAAGAGTTCTTATTAATGTATGTCTGTCTGTTCGTTTAAAATGTGGCTACAAATTAAAAAGTTACAATGAATGTGGAGAATATCTGGGGTAATGCTGCTTGAGTGTTTGTATTTATTCAGTGAAGGGCTTGTGTGTAGCTAATTGTTCTGTTTGCCACGTTCAGTAGCCAGTCTTCATAAATATAGACAGTACAAAGCTCAGTTAAAAAGAGGTTAAAAGTGGAACAAGACATATGTAATTATAGCGCTTGAACTCGCTCTTGTAGAAGTGAACGTCAGCATTTGTGGCTTGCAAGGGAGCAGGATCCCTTTTTTGTTTTGAAAGTGCCCAAGGATGAACATTCACAAGCAGATGAACATCCACAAGCATGTCCAGAGCTTGGACAGCAGGTTGATCTGCAGAATGGAAATCTAGAAAATGAATCTTTTTTTTTTTTTTTTTTTTTTAAAAGAAAACTGTGTCCTAAAATTTTTTTTCATGGATGCTCGCCCGGAGGTCTACACTGTGGTTAGGGAGCAGAGGATTACAAAGCTCATCTGGAAAAATAAAAAAGGCTTTGGGGCCTTTTGTGGTCAAATCTGGGATGGGGATGGTATGAGCAAAAAAGGAGTGGCCTGAAAATTCCTATGTGTGTTTACCCTTTGGCCAACGCTGACCCTGAGGCTGGCAGTGCTGGGGACCCTGGGGACCCTGGCACTCCCCCAGCACCCGGTGCCCCCGGCCTCCCGCGGCTCTGGGGCAGGGCGCCGGCCGTGAGCTCCTCTCTGCACAGAGGCACCCACCTGCTCCGCGGCGGCCCTGGCGCTGCCGCCTCTCCCGCGGCTGTGTCCTGGCAGCGCCGAGACCCGGGCAAGACCACGGTCTGCAGCCGGAAACCGGGCAAGTTTCACCTGCATGCTGCAACTGTAGAAATGTAGCAGTTAGGCTAGAAACACTGCTTTTTGCTAGTAGGATAGTTTTGTTAGTTGTCCAAGTGTCATGCTTATTGTTTGCTGAATCAAGCTATTATGTTATGGGTTTTTTTTTTTGTCAGGAGTGCCCCTGCAGAAAATGAGAGTCTGCAAGTTTTACTTGAAGTAAACTCTCTGAGGCAACACATTCATAAGGTATTATTGCACTTAACTCAGCTGATTACCATCCACATGCCTTACAGAAGCAAGTCATACCTGTAGTAATTGCCCAGATTATATCGCTTTTCATTGCCTATGAGAGTTAAAATGACCAAGTGGCCTGTAACAAGCTGAGGAGTCAGGCACTCCCAGGGTCTTACCCCTGCTTTGCCACTACCTGTTCTGTGATCTAGGGCAAGTTGTTTCAGCTGTGTTCATTTTGAATGAACTTAATTCATGGAAATCACTGGCATTGTATCAGGGTTGAGTCTAACCCTCTGTGTTTCAGTTTCCCCATCTGTAAAATGGGGAGAATACACCTTACCTACCTCGCAGGGTTGCTCTGAAGATTAGTTCATGTTCGTAAAGCACTTAAAATGCAAAGACCCTTCTAGGTGCTAAGAAGTATTACTGAACTCCGGCAGAGAGAATGTCACATTTTCCATAGCTCATCTCCCAGAGAGGAGCACGAATGTTTCCAGATGGGGAAAGCTGGGACAAACCCTCGTCTGCCACGCTCAGGAGGTTCCTGCCCCGGGTCCCTTGAGGTCCACGGCAAAACTTCTCCGGCTTCGGGAGAGGGCAGTCAAGTCCCAAGCAGCAGGAAGCAGGCTGACCAAGCGCAGAAGTGTCAGGAGCAAAGAGAAAACACACAGGAGTCTTAAGAACTTTTCAGAAATTTGCATGGGTGCTTTGTTTGCACTGATGGGCACCGTGCCCTGGCATGAGGCCTGCTTGCTCCTTTAGCCACGGGTTGCCCCTACAGCTCCCCAAAAGCAGCGGAGCAGCATTTCCCAGCCGCGGCTCTAAGACCAGGGTTGTGTCTCAGCTGCCACTCTGAACTTCTTATCAGAGTGGAAGGACCTTAAATAAACCAAGCTTTTAAACAAATATG